GCGACTAGTTAATGACCAATTTCCATGATTCTGTGCTTTTTCTAATTCCTTAACTGTTTTGTGAACATAATGGCTTGCATATTTTTCATCTTAAATTTTTATCTGCAAGATTAATATTTGTACAAGTCTTTTATAGATCTGGTGTTTTCACTCTATTGTCTTATTCTGGTTTCAAATTATTAGGAAGCTCTTCAGGTTATTATTTTTATGTTGAGCTGTTAAGGTTTCGGAAATTGTTAGCTCAGCATTTAAATTAAAGTACTGCATTGCCAGTGCTTATAACTGTTTGTTTTTTTTGAAAAACATGAGACTTGCCAATTGAGAGTGGCATTGTTTTCTCTTTTTATTCGACTGAACTTGGATTCAGGTCCATAAATGGGGGAAGGCATGGCTAAAAAGTTCAACGCATACAGAAATTGATTTGGAGAAAGAAGTAAAACATGAGAGAGATTGTGTGTGTTAGATAAAAGATACCGTGTTTTAAGGTATATGAAATATAGGTATCTCAGTCTGTCCATTTCCTTTTTCCCTTATAGCATCCAGGTTTAAAAATAGCTAATCCTGACTACCTGCCATGTTGGCATAATTAGCTGTTTCTGCATTTCCTTTCCGGAAAATTTTGTGCTGTTCGTCACCATAAATAGTAGTTAATAATATGATTTACTGGTGGGCGAGACAGCTGCATTTTTATTGTTGTGTAACGCCATTTCATCAGCATAAGCACATGTAGTGGCCATGCATTTATGGCAGTGAAAATTCTGCAACTATTCTGCACACCAGTTAACTGCCTCCCGTTACTGAGATATGTACTAAACATCTGTAGACCTTCAGAATGCCAGGAACTTTTTTTTTTCTCTTAGTAATTCTAAAACTCAAGCAATAGATTTAGACAACTTCAGTGATAACTGTTTCTCCTTGTTTTATTTAAACTGTACATTGTACATACATAATAATTAAATGGAAGTTTAATCCTTATAGAATTAATTATTTTCAGGCTTATACCTGAAAAAATTCTCTTATGACTGGAATGAGTTAATATGGGAGACACATCATTATGTGCTGGTCCACTTTGGCCACTCTTTGCCAATCTGCATCTGTAATGTATGTGTGTCGTGTAGTTTTTATGTAATATAGCTAAGGGCATGAAGTTCTTGGCAGACAATCTCGGGAAGTTCCCTCTGGGATTAATCAGCTCCGAGTAACTGCTGCTGAAGTTGCAAAGGATTACGTTGGAACTCAAAAAAACAAATAGTTTTTTTAACTTATGCCTTCTATTGTCCTTAAGAGATCAAGAAGTTTTGCTCAATCTTCTGTAGATAAACTGGTATGAAATCCCTTCATCTCCAAATCATCCTAAATTTCAGACTGGGGAGGAGAGAGGCACAGAGGAAATGGGCCTGCATTCCATGGGCCTTTGCAGAGAAAACAAATATCCATTTCTCCTCCTGTTTTGCATTCCCATCGTAGCGGTGCTTGAAGTTCTATTTACAGTTTTGTGAGGTTTATATAACCTTGGAAGGAATGAATGCTTGGGTTAGTGCCAGGATCATCACTATCAAGGCATCACTTTTGCTAAATGATCTTTTATTATGCCAAAGGATGTGGTCCCCAGTTCAGTCATTTGGAACTACTAATCTGTCATTTTGGATTTATTGCTTGGTCTGGTTGTGCTCTCTGTTTATCTGCAAGTGATGACCTTTTTCTGTATTGGGAAATGAAAATAAGAGTAAGGGTATCCATGTTCCTTACTGTAAATACATTTCTGAATACATTTCTGTTGTGACACTGTTATATAAATGGACTCATCTAATCCATGTTTAATGAAAAGTTTATAGTGTCGTGTCATGCTTTTCCTATTTTGGAATTAACTCATAATACAAAATTTTCGAGACTTGGAAAGGTGCTATTTCCAGAAAAATGCTATGGCCACGTTTACGCGCAAACGGTGAAGGACAAAGTTTCCCTCCCTTGTCAAGTGACCAACCCTGCTGCTTTGAGCAAATCCCTGTATATCCCTGCCTCACTTTTCCCTTCATATGAAGGTTTAAGCTGCCAGATTTCAGGAGAAAAGATGTGCGATTATATAGCAATTTCTGCCATCATTAAGGTTTGTGAGCAATGGGCCAAACAGTAAAGAATTAATCACAATCTTGCACTTTTTTTTCTCAGGCCTCCTTGCTGAATTTTTGTAACTCATTGATGACATCAAGAACCCTTGTAATAGACTTGATATCAGTGATATGGGGCAGGGGACAGTCAAGTGCTCTCCTGCCCAACCTCTAGCAGCACGTGGATGGGGATGTGGGGAATGCTCCTGTGTAGGAGTAAGTGGCTGGAATTGCAGGTATTCGTG